CCAATAATCATGAGTTTTATTTTTTAAATTGCAAAAATATAAAACCAAAAGAATATTATGAAAAATTTAAAAGAGACAGTTATGAATATATTTATAATAAAAAAAAATTAATTAAATATACACTTACGTATCATAATAAAAAAAGGAAACAAATCACAACAGTTTTTATTAAACCCGCCTCCTCTGTTCTTTGAAACATTGAGAGAAAATTACATCAATGGCAGCTCCTTCTGAATTACACTCATGGTCTGATCTTCCACAGGAACTCCTTGAGTTGATCTTCACTTCCACCAAATACCCAGCAGACATCATTCGGTGCAGTGCCGTCTGTCTTTCATGGCACTCTGTTGCTTCAACCCTTTACCGCAAAGTCTTCCCACTCTTCATTCTCCAAACCGGGGAAAAAGAACCCTACTACGGCGGACGCACTCTATTCAATATCTCCCCACACGGTAACCGCAAAATCAACCTTCCTGAAGAATTATCGCCGGAGGGAACAGCTAACAAACCCTTCTACTACTTCGGAGCCAGCAACGGATGGTTGTTAACCGTCGGGTCCATCCCGCCGTTCGAGATTCATCTCTTGAATCCTTTCTCCGGGTTCCGAATCCTCCTTCCGACATTATATCCAAATTTTCCTCCTTCCCTGCTGAGGATCCCTAAAGAATGGACCATAACAGGCGTCAAGGTCTCCTCCTGCCCTTCTCGCCCACTCTGCTTCATTGTCGTCACTTTCTTCTTCGGGCTTCGCGGAGTCATCTGCAGAGCAGGGGACACCCAATGGAAGGATATTGACCGTCGTTGTTTTGAGGACTTGATGATATATAATGATCGTCTCTACAGCTTAGGCCCCATGATCGCAGCAGACAATATCTTCAGTTGCGAAATCAACAATGATTCGGAGAACCCAGGGAATATAACGTGTGAACAATGGAGAAATCGGCCAATTCCTAGGTCGACCAACCCTGCCATTCTGTACATAGTAAAGTCGCTTTCCGGTGAGTTCTGGCTGGTGAGAAAGAGTTTTCACGACGGCAGTAATGGGGAGCGCATCGGTATTGAATCGTTTCAGGTGTTCAAGCTCGACCTAGAGAAGAATAAGTGGACGCGAGTGTATGATCTGGGAAGCCAAGCGTTGGTTATTACGGAGACGCCTCACTGTGCCGCAGCTTTAGCAGGCGGAACTTCTGCGACGTCGTTTAGAAGCAACTGCATCTACTATGTGAATCAAAGACCACAACGCAGTCGTTCTGATGTGGAAAAATATGATGTTGAGTCTAAACGCGGTCCTTTTTATCTGGGAAGATACGATGTTGAGACCATGCATACCGACTGGTTTGATCCCCAGTCTCCAGCCCAAATTTTCTTCTCAATTAGTAATTAATTAATTTTTTTTTAAAAAAAAATTCAGGAATCATTTATTTATCTTATTAATTTTATTATAATATTGATGAAAAATATAAAATAAATAAATAAATTATTATTATTATTTTTATTATAATATTCAAAGCACTCACAACTTGAATAGGAAAGTAATTGTGTTACCTCGGTCTATTTTGAATTAAAGGGTCTCAGTAATTTTTATTACTGGCTACATGATACCCAAATTGTATTTCTTTCCTCTCGAGCTTCAAGGCTGCCAACCAAGTGAAATAGGAAAGTTAAGAGATTTAACTTTCATTAGTTTGTCATTATTGTAATTTAAATT